GGACTTGTATATGTCATTCCCAAGATGAATTGACACTGTATTGGCCCCAAAAGGAGGCCCTACACCATACTAATAAATTATTATAGTCTAAAACCAGGTGTTTCCATTTCATTGTCCAACCCCTGTAGATACAGGGGTTTGTTAAACCTGAGGTCATGTTGCCCAAGACAGCCAATAAGAAAAATGAACAATTATTTTTTACAAACCTCTTTAGACTCAGTAAAAGGCCAGGAAAGTAAACAATCTATTCTTGTAGGTACGAAACTATCTGATTAAGCTGCTTCATATTCTTGTTTAAAAATTAATCGAATAAAGAAAAGTTCAGATCAGAGCTTTACAACCTTAATCCGTATTTGACTTGTCGTAGAGCATCAATCAATCATCTTAAAAATATCTGCAATTTGTAGATTCAGGACGTCAGCTGCCGGATCGAGAAGTCAAATCCAAAACGTCCATCAAGGATTATTTTTATGGGATTTTGAAGGAAAGCAGTTTCTGTGGATGAAAGTCAGATGTGTGTGTTTGTGCCCACCACACTGTCACATTATTGACTATCTGCCTTGCATTTCAACAGCATACAATAATGCATAGTGTTAAGTAAATAACTCCTAAATCAATTCAGGTCCTTGTGTGCACCCGATGCAGTTGGAAAAGGATTTTAATCTCCAGCTAAGTCTGGTTGCCATGATTTTTTTTAACCTATTAAAAACATTCTATGGTACTAGTGTCACAGCTATGAATTGTAAGTAAATGTAGCAAGGACCATGATGTTGCTTAAGCTTGTGCTATGTTATGCAAAACCTCTGTCTGGACTGATGAAGATTCCCTATATATATATATATATATATATATATATATATATATATATGTATGTATGTATGTATGTATGTATGTATGTATATCTACACACTTTTATATTTTATAATTCTTTCCCATACATAAATACAACCTGTATTTGTGAACATGTTCCAAAATACATATCATGTAGAAATATACATGACCATTAGCTTGCATTGCGAACAGTGATTTGCCTGAGTACAACTGGTGGTTTTCTGACATGCATTTAAAATATGCTTAAATGGGTTTCATGGCTAGGTCCAACTTGTGATACAAATGAAGCGCAGCACAAGGTGTCAATGGCACTTATGTCTGGTTAACTTTCTGGGGGTTCTTGAAATATTCTTCACTGCCCTTCACGCTTAAGTGGCATCTGTTTAGGCAAAGATCAGTGTGCTTGAAAACCCCTTTTTTTTTTTTTTTTTGTTTTGGTGTTTTTGACCTTTTAAACTCTACATTATAGTTATTTTGCTTTGCAATGATATTTGTAACAGAATTTCCTCTGAGTATCACTAATGGCAGTCCAAGTATTGCCCAGGGTGCTTGTTTAACAGTTTGTTAACTATGAGTTTGGTATAGAGTATTGAACCTTTCACCAAATATGGTAACTTTTTCTAATTTGAACAACCTTAATCTCCACACACGCACAAATGTTGACTCATGAGAGAACTTGGAGCTTCACAAAATGAGCTTTATGTCTTTTATCTTTACATACACCTATAATTCTTTTTCAGATCTGCCAGCATATGCAGCAAGATAAGAAAATTGGCAGTTTCTTTATATTGTGCATTATATTTTGTTGTATGGTAACCCCACTTTTAGTTTTTTTTTTTTTTTGCTGTTTTGTTGCTTTAAATATTATTGTGGGCTAAATGTATCTTTCTTAAAGAGCTCAGGGATGGTCTCTGCCAGACAAAAGGCTTTCCAGGCAGACTCAATCAGAAGTGAGTCATTTTACACCAGGTAACAAAACACTTGCAAGTGGCCACTTGTGATCAGAAGACCCAAATTACATTCTTTTTCATAGACAGACATCATATTTTACATCCACCTTAGTTACACTGATAGCTCGATTATAACATTTTATGTTCCTGTTATATCCCTGTAGGTTTTATTTATTTAACCAACTGTTGTTTAAATAGTGGTCGTTTTGTTGCAGTTATTGTTTAGTTATCATTTTAAATACAGGATTTCTTTTATGGGTAGCAAAGTGAGAGTTGTAAAATGTAGTGTTTCAGTAAATGTCACCCCCACAGTATTGGCAATTGAATATAATATATTAGAAATGGGGCTGCACAGTGGCACAGTTGGTAGCACCGTTGACCTAAAAATGTCCTGGGTTCGATTCCCAGCCGGGAATTACTGCATGGAGTTTGCATGTTCTCCCCGTGCATGCGTGGGTTCTCACCGGGTACTTCGGCTTCCTCCCACAGTCCAAAGACATGTCTGTTAGGTTAATCGGTCTCTCTAAATTGCCCTTAGGTGTATGAATGAGTGTGTGCATGGTTGTTTGTGTGTTGCCCTGCGATGGACTGGCGACCTGTCCAGGGTGTACCCTGCCTCTCGCCCATAAACTGCTGGAGATAGGCACCAACTCCCCTGCGACCCACTATGGAATAAGTGGTAGACAATGACTGACTGACTGACTGATATTAGAAATGCTAAAATTAGCAAAAGGATTTTGAGTTGGGTGAAGTATTTACAAAAGCAAAAAATATGGCATGAATATATCTGGGTTTGACCTATTAGTTTTAATTTGTTTCTCAAGTTTTCACAATTTGATTATTGGCCTGATTCTATCTTTGTATTACTATTGAGAGATTGCTCTGGGTCAAGGGAATTCAAGGGGACTCCCTCCACAGGTTCTCTGTAAGATTCAAATTGGGACTCTATGGCGCACAAAATAATAAACTATATTGGGTTCATGTGAATAGTAAGAGACTTTTATAGAGGACCAATCCTGCCTTAATTAAGAATACATAAAGAAACAAATAAATAAATGATTCAATAAAATAATTACTGGCCAAAAGTAGCTAGACATATAAATTAGAGTGCCATTAAATGCAACAAAATAATAAAAGAGATGTATTGAAGAACTGATCAATTAATTTATATTTCTATGTTAATCTTTCATTGTCATACTTATTTCTTTATTATGACGCTTATTTTTTTAAACCACAAATTTTCAATCATGCTCTTTTTCTTGAATTCTATATTTTTCATTTGCTTATTTAATACAGGTGATTTTTTTGCTTTTATTTTTGCTAGCCCTTTATTTCTTTTATATTAATTTCCTCACAAATATATTTAAAACATGTTTTTTTCCTCACAAATATATATTACTTTATTTTACTGTCCTTTTTTTTCTTAAGTACTGGTATTTTTTTCCTCTAATATATCCCTGTTGTATTTTCTTATCCAATGTATTTCCCTGATCCCATTTTTTCCATATTTCCTTTTAACATTGCTTGCCCTCTGTATTGCCTTTACCCCATCAACATGCAGCTGGAAATGTAAAAATGAATGGGGCGGGACACAACCAGAGGGGCTGTCTTTGGAAGAGTGTCACCACCTCAGCTTCACTCCTATTGGCTGATGTCAAGCCTCTGGGAAGTAGGTGCTGAGTCTCATCATGGCTGCCTGCCTGGTTCTGAAAATGAGCTAGCAGAAACAGCTAACTTCTGTTATGTTGTTGCTAAACAAGTCAGGAGTGTTGTGGGTTTGGTGGTAGATAGCGCTGTTACTCAGGATGGTTTACTGTATTCTGTTGACTGTAACTGAGAGAATAATTCGGTTTGCGGACTACTAAGTGTCATTCATGTTTACGGACCCACATTCAAAATAAAACCCTGCCTCAGTGACGAACTGTATTCCCAGTCTAACTATGGGAAACATCTTTCAACAACTTCAACGTTAGTGATACTTCTTGAAAATATTCAGCCATACATTTGTCAGAAATAAAGCCTGGGAAATATGACCAATATTATTCATCTTACTAATAATCTTTGTGAAGTAAACGGTCATTCAAGGATGATTTCTATCCCGATTAATAGTTCAGTTTACCAAGATGTCACTCAATATGTTTTATTCAAATTTCATGTGAGATTTTAAAATTGAAGACTTATAAAGTATTCTGTTTATAATTATAGTCAAAGAATACAGCTCTGATCCCTGGGACAATTATTGTAGTAATCAAGTCTAAAATAGGGCTCGAATCAGTCAGAGTACATGCAGAGAGAGTTTCTTTAGAAACAATGAATGCTATATGCCATATTTCAAAGTACAACTCAAACTCAAATCTGGGAGTCTGAGCACTCTGCAGGTCTGACACCTCTGAATAAAATATTGCTTGTATGCTGAAAAATGTAATATGGGCATGTTAACATGGCTTTAGATTTTGACTGCAGATATGACTGTGGTTTTAGTGGCATAGATGGTTTTACTCTTAACCTTAGCAGGAATCGGTCTCTGGCAGACATTTTTCTTTTATGCTCATGATTATAGTGTATAACCATAGATTTTCACCAAATTTGTTGGAAACTGAAGAGACCTCCCTTTTTCTAATCTTTATTTTCCCAAATAGAATAAAAAATTCATAAATCTCAAACTGTGATGGTTTTAAAGAATCCAGTTTCAGTCTAGATGTTTCTAATTTATGTTTCATCAGTCAAAGTTATTTTAGACTTTGAGCCTGCTGCTAAGGCTGCTAATGCATACAAGAAGATGAAATGCAGTCCAGATGATCAAAAACCTGTGAAATAGCCCTTTCTTCAGTACAAAATAACAAATTAGATTCTGACTTCAGTATGACTTGCCAGACCACTACATGACAATATTTTCTTTTAGCACTTACAAATCAGTTGTATCTTGTCTTATAATTATACAGTTTCAAAATTGTGTCACCATGTTCCTTCAGTTCTTTACTAATCTTTATTATCAGGAAGCCTGACAAACAATGCATCAACACTGCAGTGAAACTTAAGAAGTACTTCCTTTCTTATTTTGAAATAAGAGTGTCAAACATAAATGCATGTTGTCAAACTTGTTGTCAAACACACACACACCTCCTTATCAAAAGTTAATAAACTAGCTTTCAAATCATACACACTAACAGCAACTAGATAGGCCATCTCAAAACAGCCTTCACTTTGACAAGACCCATTGGTGCATTTTTACAGTTTTCACTACATCGCTACAAACAATATCTTCTCTGTTTTAAAAAGTATACATCTTGACATTTTTGCCCTGTAGTTTTTCATGCTGGAAACAGCAACAGCTGCAGCTCATAACACCACTGTTAAATTACATTACACTCATTGCCCACTCACAGCTCTTTTACCCATTCACACACATCATTTCATAAAGGATTAAAGGTATTGCCCAACAACATTTTGAGCTGACACGAGGCCAGCTTCAGAAATTGAGTTGCAGAGCCTAAAACCAAAATGACAAACTAAATGATGGTTAAATGTATATTTCATAGTAAAGGATTGCAATGAGGGAATAAGACTACTCAGTTAAAAAATGATGTTAATAAACCACTTTCAACAGATCAGCACACTGACCACATTGCTAATGAATCATTCATAATTAGCTCTGAGCCAGCTGCTAAATGGCTCATAATAAATAATCACTCATGTCATCTTTGTTACCCATATATCAATTCTAATTTTATACCTTCTTCAAGAAAGTGCTGCATTAGGGAGATGTTTTAAGAAAATCTTTAGCTCTTGGTGGCGATCTCACTGTAACTAAACATTTCTATGTCTCTGTGTTGCGGCCTACCAGTCCGACAAACTGGTTCCTAATTGTTTTTCTGGCTTTTGCCTGCTTGTGGTTTGTACATTTTATATTAATGGAGTTCCTGCTTCTTTCATATTGAGCTGATGGGCCCACAATCTAGATGTTCTGTTGGATGAATCATTATTATTCTTAATTGCATGGTTTTTCCCCCCTCTTCCATGTTCAAAATTAAATTTTAAGCCGCTCATTAATTTTCTTTTCATTTCACCTTGTGCAATGTGCTCATAGTTTATTGGTGCTCTGTCACTCAGTATGCCTGTCACAGCAGCTCTCAGGAAGAGTGGGCTTTACCTGGAGCAGTCCCACACTATGAAATATAATGTTTTACCTCACAAGGATCTTTGAAATTGAATGTTTATTAGCAACGGAAAAAAAACAAGCAAAAAAAACCCAAAACATCAAAAACAATTTTGTTGATGTTTTAGATCCATTAATGAAATCCACTTTCCAGTTTAGAGACAATTGATTGAAGAATGAAGGGAAAACACTTCACTTTGTGTAGAAGGGGAGGATTTAGATTAGAAGTGCGTGTAGTGATCAAGAAGCCTTTGGATGTTCAAACAAACATGGATTTTTAGCTCTCATGAGTCAATCATTAAATTAACCTGGATATGTGGGATCCTTTGATTCTGCTATGGCAGAGAATCAGTATGTAATCAAGAAGGCATCTGCTATGGTGCTGTTGGAAGACCAACTTTTCTTTTGATGCTGCAATACAAAAAATATACAAACCTTGAATTATAAATAGTGTAAATACAATAGTGTAACTTAAGCCCATAGGAAAACATGTATCTTCTTCAGAAAAATTATAACAGCATAGATTGCATAAATACACCTATTGAATTGAAGGATATTGATTAGATCCTTTTTGCCTGCTTTAAAGCCGCTCCACAACGATATGCACATAAATGTGTTTTAATTATTTCTGCTGATTAGGCCTCTGATAATGCAGAGTGTTGAAAAAAAGTTTGATTTCAAATCTATTAAATTCAGCTAATTTTAAGTGTAATTTTTTCAGGTGTTTTAAAAGCCAAACCCTTATACTGTTCTAATTATGTTGTTTTTTGAGACAAAACTGGGTATATGTTCACATTATATATTTAAAAGAGAAACTACAGTGTCTGGGGGAAAAATGTAAGAAAAAGCAGCAAAGGAAAATAAATCCACTACTTCAAACAATGAATGGTAGCCTTTGCAGTTTCTCTCAAATATTGCCACAAATGGTGCCTCACTGCCCCAGTGCAGAGGAAACTGTAAGAATCTTAGTGATACCAACTGAAAAAACATGAAAAAAATGAAATCTATTTTTCTGCCCAACTTTAGTCTTTTACTGCCGGTACTAACTGTCCTTTCTGCCTCTTTCTAGATAAATGAGTGAAACTCTCACAACTGGATAAGTATTTTACTCAATTTCATTATTAACAGTGGCAGTTTTTGATATGTGCAACATGGCTCACTGCCTAGGATGTCATGGCCTGGGGGGCGCCATTAGCAATAAAAGGCATATTTTTTATCTGTCAGTTGCAGCCCAACATGTATTCCAGATATTTTTTGCATCAGCAGTC